CGACTTGGCTTAAGCCTTCGACAGTTTTCTTTTCTATTATATATTTGAAAATCACTTTTAGTTTTATTGGCAGTGCATATCAAGTGCATTAAAAAGGGGTGACATAGCTCATTAACCCTATCAAACGTGGAGTAGTTTATACAGTATATGACTCAACAAGTTTATAAAATACCCCCAACGATTCCTAGCTGACGCAATATTTTTTTAAATAAGTACGTACATAAAGCCCCGTGATCGCTCAACCTGAAATAGCTGGAATGATGAACAGTCAAAGTAATTAACAGCAGATCAACTGTATGTGATTTATTTTATTTTATCATGAAATAGAGAAGAAAAATATAATGACAATGGATCTTGCTGACTGTTCTTTTCTAATGTTCAATTAAACATGTCTGTATTATAGAGCCATTGTTACGAACTTTACGGTATCTGAAGCACTAGTAATGCGTACTATGTCAAGTGCGAGGTTGACATTTGACACACTCTTGTCGAAGTGTGATTATGTGCCCCGAAGAAATAAGTGAATGACCTTTTTGTCATTATGATCAGCGCAGTGGGCAGCTAGTGACAGGACTGTCATATCATCAGCTGTTTTATGGGCTGTTGTACAATACAGTGTCTAAAGTACTTATCACACTGTACTACGTATCTCAAAGCAGCACTAAACGTAGCTCACTCACTTATTAACTGTTGATAGGCTCTCATATATTACAGACCGTTTGGATATGGTTGCTGATAGACTGAACTAAATTTAGGCAAGCGTTACTTTTGCAAGAGAGAAGTTGGCATCCCCACGGGCACCAGTTGTTGGATCAGGGTTACAGCAAGTCAGGTTTCTGTGAAGGTTTCAAGGAAAAGTTTCATGGTTGACATCACATGTGGCTGGGTAATTTGTTTAATATAATTGGTTCAGCCAAGACTTGGGTAAGAAATGTATTAACATGACCATCATGTTTGAAATAATGTGAATTTGTGCCGAAAATAGCTATGTTTGATTTTCAAAGATCATAGGTCTAACATACAATCAGCAGTTGTGTATACTACTCACAGTTTGCTTAGGATCAGGATTTGGTGGTATACGGATCATCCAACAAAAAAGGACTGCAGTGTCGCGAAACAGTGAATGTGTTAGCCCAGTAGATCCCCACGTTCATGACAGACGGGTAGAGGCATGCAGCCATGTGCAAGGATGTACTCGAGATTCTTGGGGCGGTGAAGTAGCCTAGTGGTTAAAGCGTGCGCTCGTCACGCCGGAGACCCGGGTTCGATTCCCCACATGGGTGCAATGTGTGAAACCCATTCCTGGTGTCCCCGCCGTGATATTGCTGGAATATTGCTAAAAGTGGCGTAAAACTAAACTCACTCACTCACTCGAGGTTCTTGAACAGCTGTTTGGATGTGTCCTGACAGAACGGTTAAGTGTCATTGTCAGAAAGCACTACAACATGTTCTGCCTAAAATCACAAGGAGAAGACATGTGCGGGACACATCCAAATTAGATGCATAAACGGCCGTTGGGGAATTGTGTCAGCTTGCCTGTGAGTTAGAATCCTCAGTGTATTGCTAATCATCACTTTACTGGGGACATATAGGTTGTGATGTGAAGGGGTGGGTGACCTTGTCATCATTTCGTGTCATCTTCTACACTTGAAAACGGGGAACTGATTTGTCATGGCGAAATATGCGAATCTCTTAGTCATACATAGTCATATCTAGATGCGAATTAACATGGATTAAGTTTCATAATCATCAAAATACAACAATCACAAACATTAGTCAGAATGTCCCAGATCATAATAGCAACTAGGTGAAAGTATATGATAAACAAAGCTTGTCGTAAGAGGCCACTGAATGGACGGTGTCAGGGATCATTGGCTGTCACTGTTTTCGTCCTGAGAGTTAATCACTGGATTATCTGGTAGAGTCTGTATGAATAGTTTTTACAGACCGGGGGCATATAGCTGGGGTATTACCGAGTGTATGGTTGACACATGTCATCGGTTCCCAATTGCGAAAATCGATGCTCATGCTGTTGATCACTGGATTGTCTGGTCCAGACTCGATTATTTACAGACCGCCGCCATATAGCTGGGATATTGCAGAGTGCGGCGTAAAACTAAACTCACTCACTCACTCACCGAGTATAATGTTAAAAGAAACCAACATTTGCACAGTGTACATTTTGATGTCCCTCATCAGTTGGATGAAACAATTCGTCGTAGCAGAGGCCTGTTGTAATATATTACAACGTATATGGATGCATAATGAATCAATGAATGCATTATCACCGAATCAAATAGAATTCAGATTTTGAGTTGGGGGGTTTACGTCACGTTAAGCAATGTTTCAACAATATCCTGGTGGGAGACCCCAGTAGTGGGTTTCACATTGTGTCATTGTTGGGAAATGGAAGAAGGCCTTTGGCGTGACGAGCGAACGCGTTTATCAGCTATGCCACCCTAACGCACTAACATCACATGAACATCTGACGATACGAATAGATTTCAGAAAATATATCTGACTTTTTATTCCGTAAATATTAAATCAATTTTACACCGAATTAGGGCATTGAGGTATGTGTCGCATCGTGACTATTTCTAGCTCTACCGCTTCCCCCACAATCCCCGTCAATAACATGCCATGTGAATGGCCTCGTCACCGTCACAGCGGATACCCTTCGCAATGCAATATTGTCAACGTGAATGAACATACATTAATGGCTTTAAATGTCAGCAATTGTCTGCAAGTAGGAGACTAGGCTCACGCTGACTCGAATGACTAAAATAACTAAAGATTGTTGCAATCGGTTGCTAAAGGCTGACGACACATCCACTACTTTGATATTCTAATATGGTAGTGTAGATTAAGAGGTGAGTTTAGTTTTACGCCGCTTTTAGCAATATTCCAGCGATATCACGGCAGAAGACACCAGAAATGGACTTCACGCATTGTACCCATGTGGGGAATCGAACCCGGGTCTTCGGCGTGACGAGCGAAAGATTTAACCACTGGACTACCGACCGCCCCATATTAAAAGGAGTTCAGGTGGACATCTAGTATAGACAGGAGCTTATTGATGTATATATTATCTTAAAGGAACTACGTTCCCGTTTTATATGTGTCAACGGCTTAATCCTGATCAGGATTCGATTCCCCACATTCATATAATGTATAAAGCCTGTTGTGGTGTCAACCGCTATGATGTTGCTGAAAAAAAGCGCTTAACACCGTATTCACTAACACGCTCAGTATAAGATACTGCAGTGACTAGATTTAGTTTTTACATTATGCCTTGGTTAGATATAGGATTGTTTCTGTTCTTTTGCTTTCAGTTCATTCCAATGTTGATATATGAACCAGGGGCGGATACAGCTATTTTAGAAAGGGGGGTGGGGGGGTGTTCCGCCTATGGGTAATCTTTGAAATGTGTCTTCTGCCTCTGAACGAGCGGTCTGATGCTCACGTGGTTACAACTTGTGATCGTCAGGTCTAGGATCAAGGTTTGATTCTCCGCCTTATCACAAACACTGGTATTAATCATGACCCGTTTAGTATGTACAAGGATACTGGAAGTAGTTAACGGATATTAATCGTTGTCTAAAGCATTTCTAAAGGACTAACTTTACTCAAGGACAAGACACAATCGTATGGAAAATCGTGGGAAAATATCGGCGTAGCTAATGTTCAGTGTAAGAAGCATGTTGATCTGATCTGTCATGCCCCCAACCCCCACCCACCTATAAAAAACCCAAACTCAACAAAAATTAAAAGAAAAGAAAACGAAACACAAAAACACCCGTACAAACCACATCAACCTACGTATGGAATATCGTTAGACAACGTACCGTATTCTTGTCGAGGTTTGACAGGAACCTTTGTATGAGATCAGAGTTTACTTATGAGAGTTTCCATATGAGAGTTTCCATAAATTACAGAATCACAGACCCATCAAATGCCCTCACACTCTCACCACATTTGTGAAATACTTTTTTCAGTTTGAATGAAACATTCGGATTGATGTGAAACAAACTCTGTGCTAATCGTTTACATTGTGTTAGTTGATGCCTGTGCAGGGATAGCTGCTATAGACGGCCGTCACTTTAATCACTATATAAATATGCTTGTAGTTTGAAAAAGAAATTTGACGAACATGATTTGCCTATGGGAAAGCCTTTCTAATTGTATTCACATGCATGGACAACGTTTCGACAATGTTTAGGAAGTTGTTGGTAAACTAATCTTTAGAATCTTGTGTATGCACAGTATCTATAATCCCCCAAGTCAATTAAAATATTGTGTGAGGTATATTTAAGTGTAATATTGTCAGTTTTATTTTTCCTGTTTGTGCCTAAATACACTTCCTTCGTTTGTGTTTTTTCTCTGTGTGTCTCTCAAATATGTCGTAGTTAGTGATCATGCTGTTGATCACTGGATTGTCTAGTCCAGACTCGATTATTTACAGACCGCCGCCATATAGCTGGAATATTGCTGAGTGCGGCGTAAAACTAAACTCACTCACTCACTCGTAGTCAGTGCTATAGCGATGGACAAATGTTACTGTTAGCTAAATATCAGTATAAAAACTCCTCATTTTATCAGTAAAGTACACGTTACAAGAACTGTTTAAACGGCAGGAATAACTAAACCAACCACCACTGGACACACTATGCGATATATAATAACTATATACCAATTATGTGTATAGGAAACATTTAGCCTCTGTTCAGAACTAATTGTTTAGCGTTGACATCACAAGCCACCGTGTTTTGACAATAGCAAGATCCAATCTACACCTTGCACATTTCACATAAAAATATCTGTCTTGTGAAACAGTTTACTAGATATGTATTAATTCTATTTCACGTAGAAACCCAAAAGTAGCGTTTAGTCCTTAGGATTGTTAGTATTTATAGTACAACATTAGTACTATTAGATGCACTGTATATAATAATATGTGTATATGTATATAGATGTATATGTTTGTATCTCTTCCTGTGTAGGCACAAGTACATCCACACCCACAGACACATCTGTAACTCAAAATATACCTGCGTGAAGAAGAGCCGCCATCGTTTCATGATTTTGATAAGTTTAGTTGGAAGATAAACAATAGAAATATATTATAATTAACCCAAATAAAGTTTATTTCTACCGAAATCAAAAATAATTATATTCCTTGCAAAAGAATTTATGTTCCCTAGTCTTCGCGTTGTGACATCTGATTGATCGCCTTCACTCGATATATTCCCATTGCTTTTCTTGCTGCTGTCAAAACTATTTCAGCTCATATTGATATGTACGAATATTTGTAAAGTCATTGTGTGAAAATTCAACATTTTCATCTGTGTTTTTTTTTTTATGGTGATGCCACGGCGAACGGAAGTTAGATTCTAGCATTAAATAGAAGCAGAGACCAACTGCAAGTTAGCACTCCACTAGGACGTCAGTTCACGTGATGACAATTCTTGCCAATTAACTCTCGGTAGTTTCCGGAACACGAGTGGTTTTTAAAGGTATTTGGCAATAAATGTTGACTTCATAAAAACCTTCTTGAAAATACTTGTTTCTATGTGCTTTATGAATGATTGGATTTCATTAAAGATTTCCTTTAAAGATCTGAATGGTATAATTCCTACTGACCGTTGATGCGTTGCTTTAAAATATCACTGTCTGTAGTTCCAGTAAACCAATCTCGTGTTGACCGAAACTGATAAAACGATGAAATAACGAAACGTCAGAGAAAAGAAACTTCGGTGACATTTTACGCCACATTGCAGTAAGAGACTGGGTCTTGGGCAGAAATAGCTCCTGTGTCTTCAGAGCTCCTTATAATACGTATTTGCTTGACATTTCTAGAATTTCGCTATGTAGCCTTATGCTTGAATGGAAACCAGCGCTGTTGTGCAGATACAAATGAATGTACCGCAAGGACAATATAGGCCTTTAATGTTTCAAATATTCTGTAAAATGATTCGGTGGACACCCAGTTTCTAGCACACGTGTACATACCGACATTGCGCCGACATGTACAAAGATACGTGAGTACCCACAAATATAAGAAATTGTGTATTATGAACGCTTTTGTGAAATGTGGTCAAAGTGGCAACAGAATGCATGTAGTTTGCCGCCTTTTGGATCCGAGTTGACATGATCACATATAATTCGACATGTGCTGCTTCCGTCGTTTGCACGAACTCTTCGCGATACATGTGGTATGACCGCCGTTTGCCCTGCCACAAACATGTATTGGTATGTTTGGATCCCAGTTTGAATCCCTGGATACACTTCTTAGTTTGTCATAACCACAAAATCCGTATCTGCGGTGTTTGCTAAAAATCGTAAGCATGAAGACCATAATCACTTCGGGCTTTTCACCAGTTCTCAGGGGTTTTGCCCCAAATCCAGAAAGTCCTCTTCAAATCGGCTTCATTTTAGACAACATTCTCTTTTAGTCTCAAATTATGGACTGTTCTGTTCACTTACTTATAGTAGATCGTATACGTTACCACAGATGCAATCTAATGTCTGATAAACTGATTGAACAATTGCAAAAAATGGATATCCGTGTGAGGTCAATGTCCCCAAACCAGAACCGACTTCAGGATAATATCATGTAAGTGAAATGTCCAGTTTCAATCTGATTGTCTGTGATGGATTACGTGGAATACTGCGTCACGGAAGTGGATAGATTCGGTGAAGGAGGTACTCTGATTGTGCTGGTATGGAATTATACCTTTGTTTGAGACTATTTTCACAACAATATGTCTACCCTAAATTGGTAATCAGTGAATATTCATTTTTTGTTGATTTCATCTTTCAAGTTTATTCATGATATCTACACAGATGCTCATGGCATACACCTGTCAAGAAGAAAATCTGGAAACGAGTATATACAGTACAACTCTGTATATGATGACCCGTGGGTTTCAGCAATCCATACTCGTCGAAAGAGGCGACCAACGTGAATATGTGGTCAGGCTTGCTGCCATGGCTGACACTGGTCATCGTATCCCTATTGCGTAGATCGATGCTCATGATGTCAATCACGGGATCGTATGTAGCCCTGCTCCAAGGCTGTACTGAAGGCTAAGCCCATGGATGCATAGTAATTCAAGTCAGTTCTAAATAAGCTTTAGAGGAGTATTTATATTTTTAGAAATTATCATTCAAACTATTAATTATTACCTTAGAGACTTGTGCAAGTCTAGATCGTATGGTCCAGATTCATTTATTTACAGACCGCCGCCATATAGCTGGAAACTCGGTTGCGGCATTAGACAAACAAACAAACAAAGGTCATACGACAGCACTGGCGCTGACAATTTGTCATCAAACAGGTGACTGGGACGTCCCTGCTCATAAAGTATACGTCAACGCCAGAAAACGCCAGTCTCGTTTGTCTCCCGGTAGAAACAGATTCTACTGGTTCTAAAGGGCAAAATATCGAGTGAAAGCATATCTGAAAACCACTGATGACACCAGGCGTTTGCGAAGAACACAATCGGAATATTATGTATACTAATACGACCAATGTTTTACACAGCGGACATGCTGTTTTATGTCGCCCCTACAGATTAATAACACAAACAATTTCGTTAAAGTCTGTTCCAAGTTGTTGTGTTGTCTTTGCTAAAACACATTGCCTGTTCTGATCGAAAGTGTGTTATGAAAATAATTCAAAGCGTTTGTGCAATGTGCTTAAGAAAGTACAACATCATCAACAAATAGTAGGATGAATAAAGCGATCGATATACCGCACCTTTAAACGTGGTTTACGTAACGCCATGTTAGGGATTAAGAACTGTTTGCGGTTGGCTTTACTGTTAGATTGTAATTTAAAATGGTCGGGGCAAAAAGGACACCAATACCACGTGGAAAATACTGTGTCACTGTGAATGTTGTACTGTGATTTACCGCTCCGGGGCATATGTGGAGATGGCCATTAACTTGTGGTATGCTGTTTGTTTCCTTGATAAATAGGACACCAGAAGGCAAACTTGTCAGTCTTCTATAAAGAAGATATATGTGTATGTGTGTTCCGTTATATTGACCTAGAAAACATACGCTTAAAGAATCAAGGATTGTTTCTCAGCATCAATTCATGTGTTTTTTACATGATTTACTGCGTATCAAACAAAGAATACTTTGACGAAACTGCCAGAATGATTGATAGCCGCAGATTTTATTGTGACCTATATCAGGATATGTATTACGAAGAATCAGTTGAAATATGCTTTATGCACAATTAGGCTGCTTAACACATGCTTTGCAGGAGAAGGTATAAAGTAACAGAGTAAAGCTAACAAACCCTTCACCTGTAACGAGTTAATGTAGTATAATGGTACTACAAAAAATAAATGTGTTTGAACTGTAGCAGTAAGTGGGTTGAGTTTGAATAGTATTAATGTTATAGCATGGCGTGTTCACAAATTTATAGACTAACAACTAGTCTCTGAAATGAACATAGTTTACAGAAAAAAGTTTTTAGTAAAAAAATAAATATAATGAAAAGGAACCCTGAGACTTTCTTCATTTCCTGAAGCTATGGAAATCTAGACTTGCCACATTTTCTAATCTTGCGTGGGCGTTCTTGGATATATTTGCTTCAGGGTCTGTATGACAGACAACAAATGTAGTACAGCCCTCAGTTTATTGTGAAACGGTCAAATGTATGTGGATGTACGCTCGTTGCCCTGGCGCAGTTACACAAGATACCTTACACTTTTCATCCATCAGTTCCACATAGCTTGCCTAGCCTAGCCACAGTCCCTGAACCACATCATTTTCCCAACTGCCTAGCCGTCCCGTCAATGCTAAAACCCTAAATGAAACAAGTCCAGATTTCCTCAGGTTTGGTCTGAATTTCCAATCTCAAAGGGGATACTTTTCAATTTAAATGGGTATATTTGTTAGATATATTCAGAGACTAAGCGCCAGTCTATCCTTCACCAAGAATTTAAGCATGGTGAGCGGTCTCTGTTTTACTCTCACAGGTAATGCTTGTGATAGTAGGTGCGTAATTGCTACATGGGCTTTCAGACAGTATACATTTTCAAATACGAGAACAGGAAGTGAACAAAAAGCATGCCAGCTGATCGACAGTGTACGTTTTCTGAAGAACTAGCTGCCGCTGTGTCAGCAGAAAGGATATTTCCTTAGTCCTGCCAGACAAGCTATTACAAGTAAGGGGACGGTGAGGGAGCCCTGTGGTTAAAACGTTCGCTCGTCACGCCGAAGACCCGGGTTCGATTCTCCACATGGTTACAATGTGCGGAGCCCATTCCGGGTGTCCCCCGCCGTGATATAGCTGGAATAATTGCTAGGAACGGTGAAAAACTAAACTCAAGTAACCCCGACTCCAGCATACTCTTTTTGTTAATATATGGTCTCTGATCCAACAGCAAATATATTTTGCAACGTGTTCAGTTATTATTTTCACATATTTCGCGTCCAGTTTTTATTGACTATTTCTCAGCACATACAACCATATCAACGTTATAGATGTAAAAGATTTCGTTTAGCCCCTCTAATATACTTGATATTTCAACTAACTTCTTGCCCACAAGACAACATCTGCAACCCATTCGGGGCTTACAGCTAATGTGTCCTAGATTCTGCCTCCTTGCAAACCACGGTGACACAGTAGAAAATGGAGCAACCTCCTCACAGCGATAAGTTCAGTAACTACCCTGTCAACAGGCATTCTGTGTCGCCACCCAGCAAGATAGTCCGCCTGGAGGTGCCGAAATCGTAAACTCTGCAACGCGGCACCATCTAGTCCTGTACCAGCCGCTGTGAAAGCTGTTTATTTATACCCCATGAAAACAAAACAAATCTACGTTGATATGAAAGCCAGTCTAGCCAGAAATCAGCAGGATTTCTATTTATAAGAAAACGTTTTTGATGAGAAAAATGTATTGTGGAATATACGATTCCAAAGACTATATGCTAGTAGATCCAGTGCAATGTACCAGCGTACATATGTTTATGATATCGAGATTCGCAGTAGGCTCCATGGAACTCTGATGGGATTACGTTTGTCTGCGTGCCGCATTCATCTGCATGTCGCGATCGGTACTGAGCATATATGTTACCATCACACGCAC